ATGAATTGAAGGAAACGCTGGCAAAATCAAGAATTGTAATCATTTCCACATGGGTTAGACGGGTCCTTTGCAACAGTTCTTGTGGAACCAATGTGTTTCGCTGCAGCTTTCGCAACCGACCCATTCATCTTCAATTTCCGTACTTCCATTTGATCATTCCATAATCCACAAGCAGAGCAGGTTTCGTCTTGATTATCACTTTTCATATTTTCTGATTTTCTCAGAGCTCCCCGTTTGATCGGCTCGGCAGAGGTTCCTGCCCGGTTGTGACTTTCGATCCTCGCTTTCGTTTCACTTAATAAAGTCAAATGACAATAAACGGATAAAAACGGCAAAAAGAAACTTTGCCACTTTTTTCATTTTGCGCCTCACCTGTATGTGGTCCAACCTCCTGCTGTGTGCATGTATGTAGAGTTCTACGCTCACCTGTTAAAGATATTATTATCATCTGCCGATCGTAAACAGACATATCTAATCAATATGATCGTATAGATACAGGTTTCAGGCCTAACGTATTACCAATTGCTACGGTATCTATCGGTGTCGGAGGAAGTATGCAAAAACAAAAATCGACAAATTTCATATGCATTAAGCGTATGCATACCCATATTTTTAAATAAACAACATATGACTGAGACGATAGTGATGTTTTTGTAGGATTTAGTGACCAGGATCATGGATAAGCATAATTTTTAAATTTCACAAAACTGGGCGCCGCGATGTCTGGCGTTCAAATGTCGCAGCGAGTAACGCACGAGCTACGCAAAGTGACGTCGGCTAAGAAGAGAGAGAACGGGATTTGCGTCGTTGACGTCACGCTGTACGTAATCATCAAAAACGTCGATATTTTGATGTAATTTTTAAATCAAAATAATCGATTTTACTCGAGTCTCGTACGACACCTTGTGATCACTGTATTTTTTTGTATACATTGTGTACGCTCTCTAGCGCTTGGCGGTGATTTGACGAAGGTAGCGTCTGTAGAAGTCACGATTTGAGCCGCTCGAAAAAACGGTGTCATTTTTTTGGTAAAATATGATTTTTTGAATGATAAAAAATCAAATCGAGCGATTGGAGGCTACGGCAGATTCAGATATGTAAGGCCTTACTATAGAAACCGACAGAAGCGCAATACGACGAAATTTAGTTGAGATATGAATGATTGAAAATTTCATCCGAAGTTACAAGGCATCCGAAGTTAGCCGGTTTTTACGGTACTGACCTATATGGTTAGATATACGATGTATTTCTGAATCATTATATTCAGTCTACTGTTGGTAGTGCCTAATTAAAATAATGTCGCGTAAATGCAAACGTCTGTGAATAAAATAATTACTTTTAAATAATATCAAGAGATTACAAAATTATGCGTTTCGATTAATACGTCCACGAGTCAACCTAATTTTATTATAAGTGTTTGTGACTACATGACATAGTTTGAATTGTCGTATAACGAAGTCAAAACGATGCACAATATCGAAGTTTTTTTTTTCAATAGTTAAATTAATATCGATAGTGAAACTTTGTATGCCCGTTAATACCTGTAATTACAACAATTTAACATAGCATCTTCGGTTATTTAGAACTGAAACTTCCAGAACGCACAACGATTACGAATTACGATATCATTTATTAATTATATTCGGGTTTTTATTTAAATTTGAGCGTCAACAATCCATAGTAAAATAAAAGCCTCGATGATTAATTGGATTAAACTATTTTGCCAATTTGATTCTTGTTTTTCACAGACTACGCAAGTTGATCATTTGCGGCAAACGAATGCATCAATGCGGCATTATATTAATTTGATTCTTGTTTTTCACCTATCTATTCTTGCATAAATCACGCAAATGAACTTTTGCGGTATATGATTGCCTCGACGTGGCATTGAATTAAAATATTCTCGTATTCCATATACTTCGAAGTTAAACATTCGCGACATGAATGTATCAATGCCGTATTATATTAGTTTGAATCTTGTTTTTCATCGATCTATACTAGTATAAATTACGCAAATTGAACATTTGCGGCATATGAATACATCGATGCGGCATGATATTACATTATTTTGCTAATTTGATTCTTGTTTCTTGCCGATCTATTATTGTGTAAATTACACACGTTGATCATTCGCGGCATATGAATTAAATTATTTTCGTATAGATTAACATTTGTGGCATATGAATGCCTCGATGTGGCATTGAATTAAATTATTCTCGTATACCGTAACTTTCGAAGTTAAACATTTGCGGCATATGAATGTATCGATGGGACATTATATTATCTTGAATCTTGTTTTTTACCGATCTATACTAGTATAATATATGCAAACTGAACATTTGCGGCATATGAATACATCGATGTGGCATTATATTAAGTTATTTTGCTAATTTGATTCTCGTTTTTCGCCGATCTATTCTTGTATAAATTACGCAAGTTGCACATTTTGCGGCATATGAATGTCTCGTTACGGCATTAGATGAATTAGTTCATAAAACAATAATTTAATCTAATGCCGCATTAATTTTACTGTTTATCGATTGTGTGTTATCAAAATGTAATTTTTATTATCTCTGATCCATTTATTATCGTTAACACGCCATCCTATCTACATTGAAAATGAGAGAAACACGGCACGCCAAGGTTTACGTCGAGGAACGGCCAATGTATGCCTGCGTGCGTCGATTGAAATTCAGTGACGTCACACGCCGTCAATCGTTTTTGGCTCATTTCTCTCGAACGCACCGGTAAAAAATTTTTTACATCGGTAGATCTGATTATTTTTTCACGAGGAATTCAATGGTGATGGTTTTAGATTGCGCTTTTTGTTAGTTTACTGCGCAGCTTCAATTTATCGATGTCGGGAGACAAAATCCACCAGACGTCCCTCGAAGGAAGGATATTCGATCACCGTTAAAATAGGTTTCTCTAAAACGAGAGATTGTCTCTCGATCTGTAAAGTGTGCCGTACTGTATGGTGTTAATAATTAACAATGTACAGTATGGTTGCCACTTCACACCGTCAGACCGTACCGGTACAAAATATGTATGGCATTGGTGGCACTCCAGTCTGGATTTCATGGCCTTTTTGAACGAGAAATCGGGCGTGCAATCAGAAATTCCCGCGTGCAAATAAGAATTCCTGGCGTGCAATTATAGCTCACGACGTGCAAAACAAATGCACTCGCGTGCAACTGACTTTGACATCAGATACCTCTCAATACATCCACGTAAAATTACCGGTATCGGATAAAAAATACGTTGAATCAGAGAAAAAATGGACGTTTGACCTTTGACCCCAAACATTATTTCTACAGTTTGTCGCTAATTTTGAGAGTGTTTGTGCGACTTTGGATACCGGTACTGTTCAGTACATCCGCGTAAAATTATTGGATAAAAAATACGTTGAACCAGAGCAAAATGGACATACTTTGTCATTAATTTTGGTAGTGTTTTTACGTAGAATTAATGGATAAAAATAACGTCAAATTAGAGCAAAATGGACGTTTGACCTTTGACCCCAAACATTATTTTCATACTTTGTCACTAATTTTGGGAGTGTTTGAGCAACTTTAGATACCGGTACTGTTCAGTACATTCGTGTAAAATTATTGTATGAAAAATACGCTGAATCAGAGCCGTACTTGGCCATTGGTGCGGAGGCGATCTTTTCGTCCATAACTATTCTCACGGGATTCCTATTTCCTATCATTCAACACGATATGGATCTTTCCCCGAGCATCGACTTCCTTGTTTACTTCGTGACATTGGCCAATCAGCAAGATGCAAAAAAGGACGTAACAATGAGAGGAATTTTTCGCGGGTCAAAGGTTGGGGAAAGGTCCATGGTCTTTTTGCTTCGCAATATTTCGATCAGACCAAATCTTGCAGGCTGGTATTTGTCGACAATTGTGGAGTTATAATATTTTGGCATCTTTATATTACTGGATTATTGATTTTAAAACCATTTAAACCGATTTACATTGGTGAGCAATTGCAAATTTTCGGCGTGCAAAATTGATTTCGCTCGCGTGCATTTTTGCGGAGCGCTAGCGCCCTCGGGCGTGCACCTGCCATGGAATCCAGTCTGGGTGGCACTTAGCTTTAGCATTATATTAATCCTCAAATGTATGGATGTAGTCTGGTACCGGTACCGGTACCATAGTGCTGTAGTGGTACGGTAGTCTTAGCGAACAATACGGTATGACTATAGGCATTTCTCGGTGTGATAGTGAATACTGTCTGTAATCAGAGATGGCCAAACCAAATAGTCTACTATCCTGAATGAATCCAAAATTTCTCCAGGATATGGATTATTTAATATATTCCGAGTTTGACCATGTCCAAGACAACATATACCGGTATAGGTTGATGTATAGCCAATGAGTTGAATAAGCAAATGCAGAAAAGTTGAATAATTGAATTGATTAGTTGCCTAGATGTCTTTATGGATTCCAGAATATTGATAAAAATGATAACATTTAAGATTGAACTGTTCCCAATTTGAATAGGATAGAAGAGGAAAGTCGACAAGACAGCTTAATTATATGGCAAACCACTTATGCTTGGTGGCAAAATGCAACTATATATCTTGCATTCAACAAAATATTAAACTGCTGTGTTTATCGCACTAAATTGAGATTTTACCGTATGCACGATCTGCACTGCAAATCAAGTGAATATTGATGTTTAAGACATGTTCTTATAAACGGTTTGAGTAGTAAAACTGTGACAAACTTTTCTGATATGTTTGTAGATGTTGCCACAAGCTTGTTGGCGAGAGATATCATTGAAAGTAATTCAGCTTGACACTTGCCGGTATTTATCAGAAAGTACAATTCATATTATAATTGTTCATATAGAAATAAGTGAAAATACGTTTGTGTCAATTACTGGTAGTTAGATAGTTTTTTCGTAGAATAATGATTTGATTTGAATGCAACGAACAATAAATATACTATGATAAATAGCATTAAAAGTTAATAAATGTGTTTGTTTATTATATATTAAAGTTAAGAAATATTGAATCACCAAGTTAAAATATACTAAAAAATTAACATGTTTTTATCATAGTGCACCCATGTATAGATATCCAATATATTGGGAATTATCAGTAATTGCATCTTCAACAAAGACCTTCATATAAATTCCCAATATGGAGAAACCTGATAAAACAGCAAAGTATCATGATAGTAAACAATTAAAGAAGTGCTTGGAAGAATCTTCGGAAAGAAATAAACGTATTATGGAAACAGACCCGCAGACTTTCTGTAAAATTTGTAAAAAAAGGTTTTCTTCAACAAGTGCCTACAGGCGTCACATTCGAATTCATACTGGTGAAAAACCGTTTTCTTGTGAGCAATGTGGAAAATCTTTCAGACAGAAAAGTCATCTACAGGGACATACCCGAATGCACAGAGGATATAACCCATATCCCTGTAAACATTGCGGTAAATTCTTCAGGAACAAAAGTTATTTAAAAATACACGAAAGAATTCATACAGGAGAGAAACCTTTTACTTGTGGAGAATGTGGGAAGTCTTTCATCAATATAAGTGTTTTTAAATGGCATATTCAATCTCATACTGGGGTAAAACGTTTCACTTGTAAACATTGTGGAAAGTGTTTTTTGATGAACTCTAACTTGCAAAGACATATTCTAATCCATACAGGAGAGAAGTCACATACCTGTCAACATTGTGGAAAAAGTTTTTTGCAAAATTTCCAATTGAAAAGGCATATTAGAATTCATACTGGGGAAAAGCCGTACATCTGTAAACAATGTGGAATGTGTTTTTCAGAGCGATCTACTCTTGAAAATCATGTTAGAATCCATACCGGAGAAAAGCCATATACCTGTCAACATTGTGGAAAGTGTTTTTCGCAAAATGGTAACTTGAAAGACCATAGCCTAATCCATACAGGAAAAAAGTCACATGCCTGTAAACATTGTGGAAAATGTTTTTTACAAAATTCCAAATTAAAAAGGCATATTAGAATTCATACAGGAGAAAAGCCATATGCCTGTAAACAATGTGAAAAGTGTTTTTCAGATCAATCTACGCTTGGAGGGCACATTAGAACCCACACCGGTGAAAGGCCATATACCTGTCCACACTGTGGAAAGTGTTTTTTGCATAAGTCCCACTTGAATAGGCATATTCGTATCCATACCGGGGAAAAGCCATATACATGTCAACATTGTAGTAAGAGCTTTTCGGAAAATTCCCACTTGAAAAGACATATTAAAATTCATACTGAAAAGTAGCCCTTCGATTGTTAGCGTTTTCTAAAGAGTTTTTTGTGAAACTATATTCTGAGAGTTGCGTTATTTATAGCCAATGCTTGAATAAACGCGTTCAAAATTGTATTGAGAAAAATTGTATGGGAAAGAGGGAAGTGTTTAACTTTAGCATATTATAACAAATGTAAGAATAAATAAGTCTTTGTTTATTCATAAGCATAAGCCATACTGTCTGAAATATGTTATAGTAAAAAGAAATATGAGTGATTTTATGGGAAAATCTCTTTTTGTATTTGTGAAGTTTTATCATTTATATTGCAAAAGACATTTAAAACGTTTTTTTTTCGTCAAAATCTTTGTTAAATTTCCAGAATACAAAAATAATAATCGTTTTGAAAATACTTGTTTTTATTGTTTTGCTTGCATGTATTAATGAACATGTACATAATTTATTTTTCGAAATCTGACAAATAAAATGAAAAGTCAGCCTATGAGAGAAGATGTGTGAATTAATAAATTCATATAGAAATGTCATTTATCTTTCACCAGTAACCACCTTTGCAGTATATATTTATACAAAACCTTCAATCAAATATGCCACAAGAGAATCGTAGACTAAGTCATTTATATTTTCTGTTAAATTCGAGCTTAGTCTAACTCTAAAAAATATTATCCTGCTTACAAATCAATGCTGCAGTATCTTTTTTATAAGTGGTCCCATGTACATGACCTCATTTGGGGTAAATGAGCTTGTGGATTGCTGCACTTCCCGCCATTATAGAGTGATTACCCTGATCAATTACGACTCCCTCCAACATCAAGTCTATGCTTCGACAACATGGATTGCTAACTACATGAAAGGCCTCGCCATATGATTAGGCCGTACTACCGACTTACCTCTCCCCCAGGATAAAGATGTAAATCCTCTACTATTACAACTCATTTATAGGTTCACTTCGCGCCCAAGAAATGTTTTAAACAGCCAGTTCCTAACTCCTTAGGATAAATTATTAGGATACAAATTAGGATTTACATATTTTTCCAGGGGGGGGGGGGGGGGGGGGTTGGGAGAGGAAAACCAATAGAACGACTAAACGATATGTCGAACCTAGGGTTGCCAAACTTGTATGAAACAATTCCGGAACATCTTAATAATGTCTAGTATTTGAAAAATTGATACAGCAGAAGAAGGACATCGAGCAACAGTGCGCGCTGCTCATCAATTTTTTATATATAGTGAAATGTTGACTTTTTGAGGCATAAATACAAAAAAATAAAACAGGGAAATGTGCAATTTTTGCAACGAACATTTATTTATTTAACAAATAACACAAAAATTCAGTATTTCTGGTATTTCAACTTGTATCTTTCTTGAGATTTTACCGCTTTAAAAAGATCTTTGTTAGTTTCCAATAGTGAATTTTAATTTCCGGCTAAAAGTTTATCTAAAAATTTGTAGTTTTTACGAGAGTATAATATTCAATGAACTCTCGCTAAGACAAAGAGCTTTTAGAAAGTCATCTCAAAATAGAATGCTATGCGAGCCTGAGAACTGACTGAATAATAAAAACCTTCTGACAAAAGAGTCTCACACTAGCAGTGCAATATAAACACAAAATGTTGTTACACACCGCAACTTTAATGACTAAATTTTTCAACAAATAACTTACTGTACTAATTGAAAATATTAACATCTAAACTATTTTTAGCTTCACTGTTCCAATTTAAAACTAAATAATTTATTACAGTAAATAAGGTAAAAAGGCCTAATAGCGCTCTAGGTATATATTTTTCTCCAAAGCTTTTTCTCTCTGTGGTCTTTAGAAAACCTAAATACCTCATTTCAACATCTTTTTCATATGCAAGATATTCATATGTATTAGAGCTAGGCTAAATATCAATTTGAGTTCATAAAAACTATTTAATCTAATCCTATCGTCTCCTTTACTTGCACTTCACCGACTTACAGCTGCAGAACCGTTTAACGAAGCCGACATGCTTACACGGCTTTTTATTTTAGAGCGGTTGTCATTGTCAGTAAATTCCGGCACAACCGTAGCCCAACCCGGGACACCAAACGTCAATTCCTGGACTGTCCCGGCCATTCCGGGACGGTTGGTATCATTGGTCGAACCACGGCCTCTCGTCGTGTATGGGATAGATTAGGTATTTGTTTTCGAAAGGACGCAATGATGGAGAAAGTCGTAACCGACCAGTGGTTACGTCAGTGGCGGCGCGTCAATAGGGCCAACCGGGGCAATGCCCCGGTTGTTTTTTCGGTATAATAAAAATTATTCGAAAAATACCTCAATATTGGTTGCACAGACTGTCTACACTGGCCATATTCTCCCGACATGGTTCATTTTTCGCTCGCAAAGCCTTCGCCGAACGTCGACGGGGCGACGCCGATTTTGCCCCGGTTGCTCATTGTATATCGTATTCTCTCTTTTATCTTCCACTCGCCGCGTTTGTCTCGTTTGTTTTCTGTTTCGTTTACTAAATCATCGGGGCTAGCCCCGAAATTATGACGACACAATGCCGACGTTTCTTACAACAACGTGTTGACATATTCACGCATTCCTTCTCGTTCGTTGGTTGCTTGAAGAGTTGATAGTTTCCTCGCCTTCGTTTTTGTCGTTAGAGACCTTTAGTCCATTAGCTTTCGATTTTCCACATTCCTTTTGAGCTCCTCACTTCTTCCCGGCTTCGCATTTCTTAGCCTTAGACCTCATAATGAATAAGGTTGATGCACTACTTCGCACTCCGTTTTTGCAGCTGCCGCTGGAACAAAAATTAGAGGTACAACGTCTTGGGCCTTATCAACCAAAAAATTGTTCACTGGAACAATCCCATGACGGAGGAAAGCGTCGGCGTACATTCTGCGCAGAAACTTGGTATAAAAAACACGAATGGTTGTGTTACAGCGAGGACAAAAATGCACTTTTTTGTTTTTATTGCCTACTTTTTGCTACCGCCCGTGACTCACGTTGGTGTAAATTTGGTTTTAGAGATCTTAAACATCTTTCCGAGCGTGCCAGGGATCATCAATCTTCTATGGAGCATCTGGACAATGCAGTAAAATACCGAACATTCGGAAATGTTAATATTGCAGCACAGTTGGATGAAGGACGCGCTGTTTCTATTCGTCGGCACAACCAAAACGTCGAGAAAAACCGCCATGTTCTCGGTCGATTGATAGATGTTTTGAAGTTCATTGGTTGTCACGAGCTGTCCCTCCGTGGGCACGATGAACGGGCTGGCTCTTCTAATAGAGGGGTATTTTTGGATATGGTGGGATACACCGCATCCCTAGAACAGTATTGAGAGATCATCTTGATGCCGCAGCTGTTTCGAAAGGGACATCTAAGGATATCCAAAATGATTTACTCGACTCAAAGTATAAAATTTATTTACAAAATTTGGCTCTGGAAATTGAGAATTGCCAGTTCCTTTCGATTCATCACGTGCGTTTCCCAACTGGCTGTGATATTTCGGTTTGTGAAAGATGGTAAACCTACCGAGAGATTTCACAGCTTTGTACCAATTGTTGATCGCACGGCTTGCGGAATATCGGCTGTACTGAAAGAAGTGTTACAGCCTTACAACGCGAAGTCAAAATTGATAGCTCAAACTTATGACGGCGCGGCAGTCCTGAGTGGGTCGGAACATGGTGTTCAAGTTCATATAAAAGAAGATTTTCCTCATGCGCATTTTTTACATTGTTATGCACACCAATTTAACCTCGTTATTAAAAAGATGTGTCTTGATACCCCTCTCGTCCGTATATTTTTTGCAAATGTTTGGGGTTTTCTTCATTTTTTTCCGTTTCGCCGAAGCGCTCTGACCTCCTTCGCCAGATATGTAGCCGCCGTCTCCCAGCTTGTGCATCAACACGTTGGAACTTCCAATCACGCGTGGTGCAGGGCGTGTCCGAAATTAGGTCTGAGCTCATTGAGTGTTTCAATGGCATTCAGAGCTCTGTGAGGGAGGCGGCAGGTCTGAAGCGTCTGCTAGAACATAGGTTCTCAAAGTGCTCCGTACGGAGCCCCACGGCTCCGCGAGAGAAACCCAGGGGCTCCGCGAGCTATTCGATTACTTTTCAAAATACTGACTAATTTTGTAATATTTCAAAGAAGCAATAACAGCTTTGATAAGATCTAACAACAATAAAGCCTCGAAATATGGCAAAGAGGCGGAATTAAAAAAAGACATTATTTGTAAGCAGGAGCGCAGCCAGGATTCTTAAGAAGGAGGTGGTTCGAAATTAGAATCGGAAATTTCCGCGCAACATTCGCGATTAAAAAATGGATAACGAACGTTTCGGAATGAAAAAAGGTACATCGCCGATCGCGCGCACAATTGATTGGTGCGGCTCCATGGCAGTTTCGAAATGGGAAAAAAAAGTACATCGCACGCACAATTGACGATTTCGCAGGTACTACGATGAAAATCCAACATAACAGCAAATTTTGTGATCTCCCATTTTAAGTTTTAGTTTTAATCAAGAAATTTGAGTTGCGGATCTACCTCTTCATTAATTATTATTTTAAGCAGTTCGTCGCCGATGACTATAAAATGGTAACATATTTTTCACATTGAACTCATAATTCCCCACAGAACAAAAAAGCAATTAACGTCGTCATTGTGTAACAATACATGTATATGCCGAGGGAAATTTTTGATTAAGGGAGAATAAACACCGGCGTAAAGATTGTAGATTCAAAAACACGCCGCCGTGCTGAGAAAAAATCGGCGATTGTAACAAAATGCAATTGCGCACATTATTAGCGGCCTTTTAAGTCTTCCAAAAATGTCAAAAGGGAAAAGATTCGACCCCTAATATATTAGTATGTTTGTCAAGTGTCAAATTTACAGCTTTAGTATATATAATTTATGTTTGAAATTTAGATATATTTATGACTTGTATTAACCCTATTAAAAAAGGTTCAGCATTTAAATTGAGTAAAGTACTTTAACTTGCTCAAGAATATTAATCTGAAAGCAACAATTTTAAAATTTATTTTGGGGCTCCGTGAATAATAGTCAACAATTTCGAGGGCTCCGCGACACCAAAAGTTTGAGAACCCCTGTGCTAGAAGATAGTGAGTTTTCATTTTTTCTCGCCTTTTTCTCCACAATATTCTATCACGTGGATGTATTATACGGCGCATTGCAGTCAAGGCTAATGGATGGAGCGTCTGTGCAGTCGTGTATTTCAGACTTCTGCGATGCTGTATCTCGTATCCGGGAAACAATAAAATACGACGACACATGGAGTGCGTCTTTACGCCGCGGGCAAACAACGCAGCGTTTGATTTTGTCTGCAAAGGAATGCTGTGACATTCTGCAAAATCTCTGGACATCATTTTGACGACGCCTATTTCTTCCGCCGACGCAGAGCGAACATTCAGCACGCTGAAGCGTATTAAAACGTATCTCAGAAACACAATGAAGCAAGATAGATTAAATTCCTTGGCTGTTTTATCCATTCACAGAGACGTTATTTCTGGGATGCATGACTTTAATCAGCGCGT